TCCAGATAATCTCATGTATAGTTATGTTCAGAGATAGTGGACTATTGTGTGGCGTCTGATACATGGTAAAATGGGAGAATAAAGGTTTAGGTTTATTTAGTACATCGGAGAAGGCTTCACGCATCATTGTATGTAGAGCTCGTTATCTGAAACGCTGTATGAAGCCAGTGGCTTTCAAAGCGTCGTCTTATAGTATTTCTGGTATAAAACTGCTGAATTATTAATGAACTGAGCAACTGCCCGGGGTTTACCAGACTGAAGTAGTCAACTCTGATAACAAGCTACTACTTAAAATCGATTTTGACCGCTGCTAATTCAACAAATGTTGCTTTGATAGGTGTAGCGCGAATTTTAACGTTTCCTCGCCTTTGGGTATGTGCGATTTTCTTCCAATCACATCCCGTTTGGGGCCTGTGACGAGCTACACATTTTTCTGTGATCGATTGGGTGTGACTTCGCAGAGATGTGAAACTCCCATTGATTGATCTCCACTACACTCCCCGCTGACCAGAGAAAACAGTCGACAGCAATTGCAAGAGGGGATTTAAATTGCACAAATAGTGTCCACCTCACTTGACGAATAAGGTAGCTATTTGTTTTGTCATGCTGTCTGAGGTAACCCGCTATTAGCACTGTTTAATGACTAGTCTAACCTGGGTACAGGGCGACGTTAGCTAGCTTGTAATGTCGGCACTGTTGGACTTGTTTTCCACTCTAGACTCCGCTTCCTGTTAGCCTTGGGCTAGCTGGAAAACCTACATTATGCTAATGGCCGAGTAGGTATAGTCAGCCAACGCAAAGGGGGTTAACTTTTCTACTTACAGTGGGCTGCTCGTTGCAATTTAGTTGTAATTTATTCACGAACCTATGTTAATAACTTTGTTTCAGCGCTAGCTATCAGGGCAGCTGGTTTCCTTTAGTTTGCTAACGCTCGACAGCTAGCCATCTTGCTTGTGTTGAAGGATTTTACGTTAACGCAAGTATTTAACTTGACAAGCGTTTTGCAAAGAGCAAGCGATATTAACTTAAATTAACAGTCGCGGTTGCTTACTAATAATGGGCTCACTTGTATAGTACCCAAGTGCGCGAGAGTAACGTTGAATGCCTTTAAATAGACTTTATTTTACTGTGGGAGAGCTTTACTGTTCCACTGTGAAAGGACAATAGAGAACCTGAGACTTGCTCAGCTGTTGTTCTGGCAACGACAAAAAACACTGATAACTAACTTAGAGTTTGCCGTGTTTTGATTATTGTTTTGTAGTACCACATGCTGATATAACGACAATATTTTTTTTAATTCGTATATCATAAGTGGTTAAAAAAAAATAAAAAAGCGGTTTCCGTTAAGTTGACCCGTACAGACAGCTAGGTGGAGAGTGGATGGAGCCGATGCAGATGGTGCATGTACGACATATGGGGGCTGTGCTTTCCTGAACCCGCTGCTTCCAGGTATCTCCTCTCATTATACCGACACAACAGCTGTAAATGCATCAGAAAACACTCGCAGCAGCCGGTCGTCATCAAAGGTAACTAGGTGGATAGAGAGAAGCGGAGAAGCCGTTTGAAGAGGGAGGCTCCTGCCCATTTCTGGACGTCCATCTCTCCAGCCTACTCCTCATCACGTCTATCCACCACCGCCCTCCTCCTCCTCCTCCTCCTCCCCAGCCATGGACCCCCCGAGGACTCGGTCGCGCTCTCGATCTGGTTTCTATCATTTCGGCATGAACGGCAACGTTGGAAGCAACGGCGGCGGTAACGCTGTTGGTAACGGGAGCATGATGAACGCCAGCGGAGGAGGGGTGAGCTACCCGCAGCAGAGCAACCCCGGCTGGGCTCCGCACCATGGTGGTCGGAGCTACCAGGAGAGCCAGCAGCAGCAGCACACCCAGGGGAGCTACCTGTCTGCAGGGGCGCAGCGCCACTCTTCGCACGGATCTCATAGACACCCCGGGGCCGGTAAGCAGGCTTCAGTAAACAGGGCCTGCAGCCCGGCTAGATGCATCATTACACACACTCACACAGCATGCACCCCCTGAGGGATGCAGGCAGACCACTAGCAGCTTAACAGGCTTTGAGATATTTAACTAAAAGGCTTTCATGGCCAGCTGTTGCTTTAAAGACAAGCTAAATGTCATAATAGGTTTTGTGGTGGTGGCTCTGCTTTAGAAGGTTTGAATTGCATTTACTCAGGTAAATAGGGCCAGCCAGGTTTCTGAACTCTGGCTTATATGTCATTGCCTGGCTTTATACTTGCAGTGCAAATTACAAGTAGGAATTTACTACTGCAGAATTTTCCTTTGGATAGTCCAGAAATGGTGGTGCTGAAGGCCTGTGTGTCTGTGTCCTGTGTGAGGAAGTTAGTTAAGTAATGAATTAACTTAAATTGGAATTAGTTATATCTAGAGCAATGTTGAATGATAATCAGAATCAGCTTTATTCCCAGGTATGTGTACACATACCAGGAATTTGACTCAGGGTTATACATTGTTCATGTGCTTACTTATACAATAATGTGGACATTGAATAAAATAAATGCTCATTGATCAGGGGAAAATTTGTGCATTCAAACTGTAACATTGACAGTTAAAGAGCAGTTTTCATTTATCATCAGATCTGAGACAGATGCATTTCCCTAGTGGTTAAGACCACCTACATACTCTTCATCAGTCTTTACAAGAACTACGTATAAGAGGAATCTGATTGAAAGAGTAGTTTGGAGCCTTGAAACAAGCCTGAAATTGTTTGAAATGAAGTCTTTCTTGATAGCGATTTTATCTTTTTGCTTGATATTGCTCACTGCTTTGAGACAGGCTGCCGTAATTCTTTGTAGATCACAATCGGCCCGTTGATCCATAAGCTGTAATGCTATACAACTTACATTCTAGCCTGTGCACTGTATGGTCCCAAAATAGGCAAACAGATATCTCATCTACTAGTTAAGGGTAGAGTAGAAATTGATTAGGTGCTGCACTTGCAAAGCACTGTTCAAACATAAAGAAACGGAGGAATAGAGGTGTTGGTTTCTTCGCTTTTTCAAGTAAAATATTTTATTTATTGCTCAGTATTAATCAAACATTTGTTTAACTGGCTTTTCATGCCCACAACATCAACAATCCTTTATCCAATCCAAACTCACAAAGAAGACAATGGAAAACTCCCCAAAACATTTAAGGAAAAAGACTAAGAAACAAATGAAACTGTCAGAGAGGAAATTCAAAGTGAGACTGTACCCCAGCCACATTTAATTATTTTCAACATTGACACCAGTCTGTTTAGTGTTTAGCAGGCTTAGATTTCTGACCATTGCAAAGTGACTGAAGAAATCCTCTGTAATACCAGATTGGATTCCCTCAAAGGCAAAAAAAGTGCAGTGAATGAGTGAAAGCAGGCTTTTAATGGGCCTCTGTCGTAATAGCAGCACTGTTGCCAAACACCCAAAATAACCCACACAGACAAAAACACATGCTTCCCAAATTGAGTCTCTACAGAGGGGTTTGTGGGAATACTGCATCTCCCAGCTGTGTGATCTGTCTCCTCCTTCTTAACGGCTGCACATGCCCCTTTCTAGATGGCTGGGGTCTTTGTGTTTTTGTTTGTGTATGTGCGTAAGAGTGTGTATTACAGATGTCCTGTTTCTGCCTGCGCTTGTTTGTTTTTGTACATGTCGCTGAATTACGCCTCTTGGCATCATTTAATGCAGAATGTGTCAGGGTTGGATTTGTGGGTGTTAAAAAATGTGTCCACCTGGCTTACCTCCCTGTTTTGTTTTTTTTTGTTTGTTTCTTTTTAGCCTCTTTCACTTTTTAGCTTTAAAAGTGAGCGTTGCATCCCACAATATGCAAGCAATGCAAGTAGTTTTTATAGATCTTCATTAATACTGCTATCACTTGACATCTCTCCGGTTTGCGTTGGTAAAATAGATTGTTTCTCTATTTCTGGCTTGTCAATTCTAAATAATGGTTCGTGTCTTTGTATCTCGGTTAAACAACAGAAGCAAATTGCTACTTGATGACAGCTGATACTGTTAAGTTAACTTTCATGCCTGCCTGACTCGATTGTTTGTTGTGAAAGAAATGTTCTTAGTCTGCCCCTGCAGCCACACTCGGAGGAAACAAGGTCGTGTCTGCAGAACCCGTCCAGCCTGGTTCACCGTCCCCTCTCCTATGGCCCCTGGGGTGAATCAGCATTAACAGACCTAGTTCTTCCCAAAGCACATGGGGCCCCTCTGGGGTCTAAGGAAAAAAGTGATGGTAGATGAATAAAGATGTAAGCCAGTGTGTTGGTGCTCCTGTCAGCTAGTCAGTCAACAGACTGTCCCTCTGTTCTCTGCAGCCACTGGCAGGGCGTCTTTGAGCTGTCGCTATCGGCAGACTTCACATGGCTCTGGAGTGGCGTCGCAAAGACAAGAAAGAGGTGGGGGGGTTGCTTTCAGATGTGTTGTTTCTGTGGAGACGGACAGGGCTGTTCGGATGAGGGAGGAATAGAGGAAGAAACATAAAGAAATGGGGGGGGGGGGTCCCAATCTCTCCCCCACCCCCCTCTCTTTTTGGTGATTAAAGGTTTTTGGGGGACTGCTTAGAGGAAACTCTTGTCAGCTGAGTTCAAGGACATCCTTCGTAAGCCGCTGAAATGTCTGTGTGCACATGCTGCATCCAGATTGCACATGTGGACTGTCAGATAAACAGCTGGGAGAGCATTGTGTTCTTCTGAGATTACGTTTATGGTATTACCGCTGTATTCTGTGATGTGATTTTTTTTTTTCTTCTTCTTTCTTTCTTTCTTTTGGACATGTTAATCTAATACATAAAAAGTGAGTCTTTTTTGTGTCTTTCTTTTTGTGATGGTCTGTGGATCTTTCAAGAGAGATTTCTATCGCTTGTTCACCGAGGAGATTAAAAAAAAAGTCTAAGAAACGTACTGAGCTGTTGTCGCAGAGCTAATAATGGTTCACTGCCTTGCTCAGGGACCCGTCAGCATAGCAGATGCTCGACAACACACAGACTGTTCACTTTCTATAGGGCTTACTCTTCAGTGTCACTCCAGTTTATGGTATAGAACTCAACAATTATGAACATTATTGATTTCCTGTTTTTTTTGGTGGATAAATCAACTAATAAAATGTCAGAAAATGGGCAAAAATCCTGTTCATGATTTTGCAAAACCCAAATTAATGTCCTCAAATTTTTCCCCAGTACAAAACCAATATTAAATTTACAATGATATAAAACATTTCAGAAGCTGGAACCAGGAAATGGTTGGCAATTTTGCTTGATAAATGACTTCAGTTAACTTATTAATCGATTAATCATTTCACCTTGATAGTACGCTATGGTGACTTGGAGGAAAGTGACAGTGAGCTGACGACTGGAGACAAAAGTCATTATCTGCATTCAAACAATGTCACACGTTCAAAACCACCAAAACACTCTGGTGTAAATCATGTGTAACAAACACGTTTGATAAGTGGATGTCTGTGTGTCTGTTTCTGTGAGTGTGCATGAGCTTTTCTTGGTAGATCAGGGAGAGTCCAGTGTGACATTTTCCAAAGATGGCTTCCTCTCTGTCGTCTGCTTGTTTAAAGCAGGAAATTCAGAAGCCTGACAGGCCCTCGCTGAGAAACTCTTGTTTGTGAAGCAAATTGTTGGATGCACTTTTTTTGTAGTCACTGTTGGGTTTTGTAATTTTAAACCTGTTCAAGCAAATCAGCCAGGCTTCATCAAGATAACAGCTTTTTTTTGGCATCCATTGGAGTCTTAGAATGGAAAATAAAATCAGAGGCAACCAGCTGCCTGTGTGTTGTTGCTGCTGTTGTATTTCTGTTGGCTTAGCAGGCGTATGTCCATGTGTCTTGTGATGTTGATGTTTTTCTCAGCCCTATCTCATCTGATTATGTTTTATTTCTCTTCCGTGGCCTACAGGAGGAGTGCTACATTTTCATCCAGATAACGTGTGCAGCGAGGATCGGGAGAAAGTAAGTATGAAACATGACCACTGCCTGTTGCTTCTGCTTTGCTCCTGGTTCGAATAGAATTTGTATGTCATTGTTTTCTTTTATTATTCATTCTTCCCTTTTGTCTGTCCTCCTTTTTGTTTTTCCCTTACAAATCCCCCTGGTTCCCCCTCCTCCTTTTACCTCTGTGTTCAGATGGAAGACAGCCCGAGCCCGAAAAGGCAGCGCCTTTCCCAGCAGTCCATGTTGGATCTAAGCTCCGCCCCTCCCTCTACTCCTTCCTCTCCCATTCGCCCCTGGGAGCTGCCTCCCAGTCGCAGACCACACCCCATTTACATGCCAGAGAGATGCCACACGCCTCTCCGCAACAGGCGCAGGTAAGTATGTGTTTGTGTGACACAAATATATATTATTATATTCATTATTCATCCTTTCATTATTCTGGTAATTGTTCAGCCTCCAAAATGTCAAAAATGGTGACAAATTTCTTTCTTGAATTAGCCTATTCTGTTTGACTGACATTCATAAATTGTAAGTGTTAAAGTAACAATGATAGACAACAAACCTTTTCTTTTACATGATATATTACCATAAGAATGAATCAGTCCATCAGAATTTGTGATTATGTTTTTTGATGGCTGGTGCTGACAATTTGGCACCAACATCATTTGAAACAGAGCTGAAATGATTAGTCGTAGAATAGTTGCACTTACCAAATTATTCTGCAATTATTTTAATAATTGTAATTTTTCCTGCAAAAACGCCAGATGCACTACGGTGCACGACTCTCAAATTTGAGGATTGGCTGCTTTGTTCTTGTTTTGTTATTGTAAATTAAACATCTTTTAGTTTTGATTGGTTGATGTTGGAAGACCTCACCTTGGGCTACAGTGACATTCTTTTTAAAATTTATTTAGTTTTACTATTTTCTGCTATTTTATAGCACAAATAATTAACTTTTCAAGCAAGAAATAATTGCTTGATTAATTGATACCAGAAATAACCATTAGTTTAATATGTTTTGATTCATGATCTTAATCTAGATAAGTTAATACACACAAAATGCTTGAATGTATATCAAAGCATCAATACAATAATAGGATCTCAATAACTTCAGTCTGGACCTGGCTGTTTTGATGCACCTGTTTGTGGGGAAAGCTTTCACGGCTTTGACTCCAGACAATTATCCTCTCTCTCTAGCCTGCTGTTGTTTTTTTCTTAGTGCACACGTAGTTTACTTGGCTGAAGATTTATGGATAAAAAGCATGTCTTATTCCTCTGTATGGCTTTCTGTCAGTATTATGTATTAAAGTATCAGTCATGTTTTCACATCAAACTCAGTTTGGGGGTGAAAATATCTATGTTCATTTGGATCAATTTAAAGTGAGTCCAACAGTGTTTATAGTAGTGCAAAACTAAATTGGTACTGTTTTAACTAACTTGCTGAAGGGGACATCTCTAGTCCTGTATTTATAATTATGCAAACGACAATGTAGCTCTTTTCGCCTCTTCTTTAATTTTCTCCTGTCTGTCACCGCAGCCCTCCAATGAGACGCCAGCGTGGTCGAAGAGACCGACTGACCCGCCACCACCACCACGCCCACAACAACCACCACCACTACAACAGCAACAACAACAACCACCACCATCACCACCCCAACGCCCACCATCACCACCACCACCACCTGCACTCTCACCACGGCCTTTCGCCAGGCCACCAGGATGAGAACTACCGTCACCCGGCTCCCCCTCAGGGCTACCCACCCTATAGCCAGCAACCTCCCCGAGGGCTGGGGCCCGGTCCTGAAGAGCGCCCAGGTCACCATCCCCCAAACCCCTCCCCGAGACCCCTACACCAGTCACCAAACCTGTCTCCCAGGCTGCTGCACCCTGCGGCCCATCCACAGCACCCACACCCCCACCCATCCCAGCAGCATAGCAGTTTGGTGCTGGATCTCCATGAGCAGGTGACTTCCTGAGATGATGTGCCTTGTTGGAGGGTGTATTGGGGGAAAATACAGTTAAGAAAGGAGTGAAATTATTCCAGTACCCCCTTTTGTATGCTTGTCACCTTCTCATACTGTGCAAGAAAACACAACTCTGTGACACTTTTTCAAACAATGTGTAGACAAGATGTCGACAGAGTATGACTAATGTGATGTTATTTTAATGAATAACTGTGGTTTGTTTGATCTTGAAAGCAGTAATCACATTTCCTGTAATTTACCAAGGAAAAGTGATCAACACCATGTAGGTGAAATATTCAGTTGGGTAATGTGGGCTTGTCTATTAGCATGTCTGGCTTGAGTGCCTTTTTTTTCTCCATTTTCTTTTAATTGGCTGGGGTGGAGGAAAGTGTATTGTCAAATGGAAACTTTACCCTTGAGAAACCGCTATCATCAATCTTTTCAGAAACTTTTTTTATTTTATAAAGCATTATGTGCAATATTTAACACATTTTTTATGGCGGTGTTACAGTATGTGCGTTTTAACTAATCTAAGACATTAACGCTACTAATCGGATTTGATGGGAACAGTTGACGTCAGTAGATAAATTGGTCACAGAAGTCATTTTCCTTCGCAGGTGAAAGAGTGAGTTGTGGTGTTTTGACTTCAGTCAATTAAATTCCAAGTTCACATCTGAATTCATATCCAAAAATTAGTGACAACATAGAAAGGCATTACTACTTTCTTCAAAATACAACTGAAACTGCAAGACATCCTCCTGTGAGCATCATTAAATCACAAATAGGTCTGTTAATCACAAAGTGGAATTTTATCATCTCTGAACACACCTGTATTTGAGAAATCAGTCCCAAACAAATCCCAGTCTGTGTTTGTGAAGTTGCGGACCATTTCTCTGTTGATCTCCATTTTTAGGGTTCAGTTCCAGTATCGTATCCTGTGTCTCCTCCGGGCGCGCCACCAGGCCTGCCGCCTCGCTCTGCCCCTCAGCAGATCCCAGCATGCTCTGTAGTCTTCAGTGGACAGCACTATCCCGTCTGCAGTGTCCCTCCTCCTGTGAGTGTGTTTCTGCAAGAGATTTATTCCAGCTGTTTAGATTGGTCGGAATGTTTCCCACATCTTACTGTGGCAAGTTTTCTGTTACTGCTGAGTTTTCAGTATTTCAAAATACTGTTTGCAACACGCCTCACTGAACAAAATTTTGCTGTTTTCTCTCTGCTACTGTAGGTCCTTCAGACTTGTTCTGTGCAACACTTACCCATGCCCTACCCATTCCCATCACTGTTGTCCAGTGATCCGGCTTTCCTGCTTCCCCCTCCTCACCTCCCCCATCCCCCCACCCACCTTTCCCACCACCCACCTCACCTGCCCCAGCCTGGACAGTTTGGACCGTATCCGACGCAGCAGGCCCGATCGGTGAGTAGGAATTCAAATGTTACAACGCTCATTTAGTATCAAATGCAGCCTTTGTGAATATAATAATATATGGCATTGAAGTTTGATTGTCCTGTTTATTTGATGATATCTAACTTTCTGTGCATCTCTAAAAAAAAATTTTTCAGGGAACCAGTATGTCAGCGTTCCCCTTCGAGGGAACTCGAACTGCGTCGGTGACGACACTATGGGAACGCCTCTGGGCGTGGCAGGGCTGAACTATGAATGAAACTACTCCAATCCTATTGGTGTTGCTAGAACGGTAGCGTGTGACGGCGTAACCGGAGGGGTATATATGCACGCCGGCACACAGGACACATTAGCCTTTTTTTATTAAGCAGGCACTCCACTATCCACAGAAGCTCCACTATCGAGAAAGTTGTTGTCTTACCTGGAAATCCTGACGAAGCAGTAGAGACCATGTCTGGTGATCAGTTCCGACAAAGTGTTTTTCCATGCCCACGCTACATCGCGGCTGGGGAGACTCATGAGATTTGTGTTCCTGTCTGGGGATGTCGCACGCCCAGGCAGCTCTCGAGGGGGGCTGCCTGTGGCCATGGCGAGGCCCGGTCCCTGAGGGTGCTGAGGTCTCATGCGGCTCTCTTTCGGAAGACGGTAGGATGCGCTCTCCCCGTGGCTCAGGCCCCACGGCTGCTGACGCCGCCTCCTCTCTTCCCTGTTCGGAGCCCGTTTCTCGGCTTCTCCCGCCCGAGGTATGAGTTTAGAGAGGCTTGCACAGTCTGATTCTGAGGAGCTAGACATGCTTAGCATCATGGAGGATGACTTCCGGGAGCGGGGCCGACATCAGACATCAGTCCGCGCCCAGCTATGAGAGGCGGGGCAGGAGCCGCGGGCCGGCAGTAACCTCAATGAGCTTTCTGCAGCCCGAGCGCCACCCCCCGCGTCCTGATTTACACAATGAGTTGTGTAAATCATCATCATCATTTACACAATGAGTTGTGTAAATCATGGAACATACTGAGGGGGGGGGGGGGAAAGAAAAAAAAAGAGCTGCTCTGCACGGCTGACTGCGTCCCCTCTGCTGGACTACAGTAGCGTGACAGAAACTAAGCAGCACGGCTTTGGAACGATGCCTCGGGTGGAGGAAGCACTCACGAGCTATCTTTCTCCCACCCTCGCTTCATTCCTTCAGACGCTGGCGCTCCCCACCAAGCCGTGGCGGACGACATCCGCTTTGGTGGGCAAGGCCTACAGTGAGGAAAATAAGTATTTGAACACCCTGCTATTTTGCAAGTTCTCCCACTTAGAAATCACGGAGGGGTCTGAAATTGTCATCGTAGGTGCATGTCCACTGTGAGAGACATAATCTAAAAAAAAAAATCCAGAAATCACAATGTATGATTTTTTAACTATTTATTTGTATGATACAGCTGCAAATAAGTATTTGAACACCTGTCTATCAGCGAGAATTCTGACTCTCAAAGACCTGTTAGTCTGCCTTCAAAATGTCCACCTCCACTCCATTTATTATCCTAAATTAGATGCACCTGTTTGTGGTCGTTAGCTGCATAAAGACACCTGTCCACCCCATACAATCAGTAAGAATCCAACTACTAACATGGCCAAGACCAAAGAGCTGTCCAAAGACACTAGAGACAAAATTGTACACCTCCACAAGGCTGGAAAGGGCTACGGGGAAATTGCCAAGCAGCTTGGTGAAAAAAGGTCCACTGTTGGAGCAATCATTAGAAAATGGAAGAAGCTAAACATGACTGTCAATCTCCCTCGGACTGGGGCTCCATGCAAGATCTCACCTCGTGGGATCTCAATGATCCTAAGAAAGGTGAGAAATCAGCCCAGAACTACACGGGAGGAGCTGGTCAATGACCTGAAAAGAGCTGGGACCACCGTTTCCAAGGTTACTGTTGGTAATACACTAAGACGTCATGGTTTGAAATCATGCACGGCACAGAAGGTTCCCCTGCTTAAACCAGCACATGTCAAGGCCCGTCTTCAGTTTGCCAATGACCATTTGGATGATCTAGAGGAGTCATGGGAGAAAGTCATGTGGTCAGATGAGACCAAAATAGAACTTTTTGGTCATAATTCCACTAACCGTGTTTGGAAGAAGAATGATGAGTACCATCCCAAGAACACCATCCCTACTGTGAAGCATGGGGGTGGTAGCATCATGCTTTGGGGGTGTTTTTCTGCAGAAGGGACAGGGCGACTGCACTGTATTAAGGAGAGGATGACCGGGGCCATGTATTGCGAGATTTTGGGGAACAACCTCCTTCCCTCAGTTAGAGCATTGAAGATGGGTGGAGGCTGGGTCTTCTAACCCTAACCCTAACCCGAAGCACACAGCCAGGATAACCAAGGAGTGGCTCTGTAAGAAGCATATCAAGGTTCTGGCGTGGCCTAGCCAGTCTCCAGACCTAAACCCAATAGAGAATCTTTGGAGGGAGCTCAAACTTTGTGTTTCTCAGCGACAGCCCAGAAACCTGACTGATCTAGAGAAGATCTGTGTGGAGGAGTGGGCCAAAATCCCTCCTGCAGTGTGTGCAAACCTGGTGGAAAAACTACAGGAAATGTTTGACCTCTGTAATTGCAAACAAAGGCTACTGTACCAAATATTAACATTGATTTTCTCAGGTGTTCAAATACTTATTTGCAGCTGTATCATAGAAATAAATAGTTGAAAAATCATACATTGTGATTTCTGGATTTTTTTTTTTTTAGATTATGTCTCTCACAGTGGACATGCACCTACAATGACATTTTCAGACCCCTCCATGATTTCTAAGTGGGAGAACTTCCAAAATAGCGGGGTGTTCAAATACTTATTTTCCTCACTGTATATGGCAGCGGGTTGAGCTGGTGCAAGCCTGCACACCATGGCCACCTTGCAGGCGTACCAGGCCGATCTTCTCAAAGACTGTGACCTAGGGGGAGGTCCCTCTGAGGAGGACCTGACTGAGCTCCGTAGAGCTACGGACTTAACACTCTGTGTTACCAAGGAGACGGCCTGTTCCAGTGGCTACGGAACGCCATCTGTGGCTCAACCCCTCGGGTATCCAGGGGAAGGAGAAGTTTTTTCTCCTGGATGTGCCACTCTCTCCTACTGGCCTTTTTGGTGAGGCAGTGGATGCTGTCGTCAGCAGGTTTCAGCACGCCAAAGGCAGGGAGAGGCGTTTGAGCAATATCTCCCCCGCCGGTCTGGGTTCAGGACGGCGACGGCTGAAGAGAGACGAGCTCAGCCCTCGGCTAGCTCCTACCGCCGGAGCCAGAAGCGAAGCGTCACTTCCCGTAGTCCCTCTCAACAAACCTGGGACGCGAGGCTTCGCTCTCGCCCACAGCCCCCCGAGAAGACGGGCCTGAGGACCGTCATTCAGTTTCGGCGGGCTCGGGGAAGAGGTCCTGAGGTCTCGAGTAGGGGGGCCCACCACCACCCTCCCTGAGAGAGACTGACCGAGGTCCCCATCCCTCGTGGCAGCTCAGGCAACAGGCTTCCCGCCGTCTTGGTGCTCAGGACACGCTAGCCGCCAGCGAGCTCTCACCAGTCTGCCCGCCTCGAGGGGTTGCAGCTGGAAAACGATTGGGCTCACACACCGTGGGTCGCCAGTGAGTTTCCCTGGCGGTTCTCTGCTTCAGGGTGCCACCCGGGGACCTACGCATAACACCAGCCACCAGCCTGGTTCCTGCGCACCGTAGTGGATGGCTACAGGCTGCAGTTCCGGGTCCACCCCCCGCAGAAGTTCAACGGGGTGGTCTGGACTGCGGTGCACGTGGGGCAGAGCCAGGTGTTGGGACAAGAAGTTCGCTCTCTGCTGGAAAACGGGGCCAGAGAGCTTATTTTCCCGCCAGTCAGGGAGTCCGGGTTCTACAGCCGGTACTTCATAGTTCCCAAGAAGGACGGATGGGTTGCGTCCGATTTTGGATCTGCGCTCCCTGAACCAATCTCTGAGGAGATTCAGGTTCAGGATGCTCACCATCCCTGCCATCATCAGTTCCGAGGATTGGGTTGTCACGATAGATCTGCAAAGACGATTTCCAGTCTCCATCCGTCCCTCTCACAGGAAGTTCCTGAGGTTTGCCTTCGAAGAAGAGAAAAGAAGAGCGGCTTACCAGTATCGAGTTCTTCCGTTTGGCCTAGCACTCTCTCACCGCACGTTCACCAAATGCATGGATGCAGCTCTGGCCCCGCTGAGGCTCCAGGGCATCCGCATACTGAACTACATCGACGACTGGCTCGTCCTGGCCCAGTCTCGAGAGTTAGCGGTTCGGCATCGAGATGTCGTGCCCACCTTCAGCGTTTGGGGCTGCGGCTCAACGCGAAGAAGAGCGTGGTGACGCCCGCCCAACAGACTGCGTTCCTATGGGTGGTGTGGGACTCAACGACGATGCGGGCCCACTTGTCTCCCGCACGCATCGAGCCCATTTTATCCTCAGTGACCAGAGTGCAGTTAGGCCGTGCCATCACTGTAAAACACTTTCAGAGGGTGTTGGGTCTCCTGGCAGCAGCGTCCAGTATAATACCTTCCGGACTACTGCACATGAGATCTCTGCAGTGGTTGCTAAAATCCAAGGGATTCTCCCCGAGGGGAAATCCGCTCTGTCTGATACGGGTTACGAGCAGATGCCTTCGTTCCCTGTCTGTATGGAGGAAATCTTGGTTCCTGTCCCAAGGTCTCGTTTTGGGAGCGATCTGTCGCCGAACAATTATTTCAACAAACGCCTCACTCAAGGGATGGGGCGTGGTCATGGACGGCCGCTTTGCGAGAGGCTCCTGGGAGGAGCATCACTTCTCCTGGTACATAAATTGCCTGGAAATGTTGGCGGTATTCAGAGCTCTGAGGAGTTTTCTGCCCGCACTCCGCGGTCGCCACATCCTTGTCAGAACCGACAATACAGCAGTGGTGGCCTATTTGAATCTGCGGGGGTCTGCGCTTGCGCCCGTTATGCAAATTGGCACATCAGATCCTCCTGTGGTCCCAGCAGAGACTGCTGTCCCTCAGAGCAATGTACGTCCCTGGGACCCAGAATCAGGAAGCAGACCTGCTGTCGAGACAGGGGCTGAGGCCCGGGGAATGGAGACTCCACCCCGAGGTGGTGGAGTTATTATGCGAAGAGATCGGCCCCATAGACGTGGACTTGTTTGCGTCCCAAGAGACGGCGCACTGTCCCCAGTGGTTCTCCCTCTTGCCGGCAGAGGATGGGAGATTTCATCTGCTCTGCCCTGTCAGAGCACCGAGTATTTACACTCTGAGGTCTTCCCAGTGGAGGAAAGCAGACCAGTTGCTGGTGTGTTTCGGGTCCCCCAAGGCTGGGCTCCCCGCTTCTAAACACACCATCAGCAACTGTATCGTTCAGACTATTTCCCTGGCCTATCAGGTGCGCGGTATTGCCTTCACCTATGGCCGTAAGGGCGCACTCTACTCGAGGCATGGCGGCTTCTTGGGCCCTCCTCGCAGGGGCGTCACTCCAGGATTTGTGTGATGCGGCTGGCTGGGCCACCCCTCACACTTTCATCCGGTTTACAGTCTGGACCTTCCTTCTGCACCCGGCATCCATGTGCTCTCCTCCTAGTCGTGCCGTCAGGTTCTGCACGCTGTTTTGGCGCGGCCTACATGGGTATCTTGTTCCCATAGTGTCGTCACCGACGCAGTTCGAGTTCCCTCGAAGGGGAACGTCTCGGGTTATGTATGTAACCCTTGTTCCCCGAGAAGGGGAACGAGACACTGCGTCGGTCCGCCACACCTCACCCCGCCTGGAGTGCCTTGCTTCATAGAAAAGGGCTAATGTGTCCTGTGTGCCGGCGTGCTTATATACCCCTCCGGTTACGCCGTCACACGCTACCGTTCTAGCAACACCAATAGGATTGGAGTAGTTTCATTCATAGTTCAGCCGTGCCACGCCCAGAGGCGTTCCCATAGTGCCGTCACCAACGCAGTGTCTCGTTCCCCTTCTTGGGGAACAAGGGTTACATACATAACCCGAGGCGTTTTTCAGGGAAGCTTTAAAGGTTCTACTTGCTGTATTGGGGGGGGGGAAAAATGCAGCAGCAAAGTTGTTTCACAATGTAAAAGCAAAATGGATTATGCATATTTTATACATTTGAGTTTAAGCTAGTGTTTGCACTTGGAAACTAGTGTTTAGTAATAAACCAGGATATGTACTGAAATAGGGTCAACACAGGTAACAACTAGGTAAATGGCTGGATTGCGAAAGAAATGTTTGTCGTTTTTTGACAAAATGACAATGGAGAATTGTGGTTCTCTGCAAAAATGTCAATATCGTTCATGAATAATGTTCGAATAAAAAGCGTGTGCCAAAGTGTTATTATTTCGTTGTAAAGTACTGTTCTTGTGGAACCCTTGGTATGACAAGTCTTTGCCAAAGGCTTTAGGCCAAAATACATACATTCTTTTGCCTACATTTGTCTTTTGTGTGGCTTTGCTAATGATTGATGATTTACTGCTAATTAAAGCAACTGCCTAAGAATGTAATACAAATTAATTCTAGAGGTTAAATTATTTAATCGAATTTTAACAACATATTTTAGTAGAAAAAGTACAATACAAATGTTAGGTGGATCCATGCAGAGGACTGTTAAATATATCTATGTACAGTATAATAAAATTTTTCTACAATAAGTCCTAAGCAATAACTCTTTTTCTGGATTTGTCGAGTAGTTGAAGCTCCTCAGCTGCCTCCCTGCTGGTTTATCTTTATCTAGTGTTTGTTTTGAATTGGTCTTGTTGCTTCGATCACATGGAAATGATCTCAGCCAGGAACAGTCTGTATTTGTCCCTTTTTTGATGTTCCACACATGTTTTGCCCTCCCAGCCGCTACAGAGGATAGAGAATGACGTGGAGCTGCTTGGAGAACACCTGTCATTGGGTGCTGGCCTCCACTATCCTCCCGCCACCCACCCTGCCCTCGCGCCACACTCAACACAGCTTCACTTCCTCTCCCATGACCCCCTGCCACAGGAATTTTTCGGAGTGGTGAGCAATAAGAATAATTCGATCAAGTGTTCCTTTAACCTTTTTGAGTGCAGGGGTGATTTGTCATGTATGTCTTGCTCATTGCCTCCTAGTCCTATCCAAACTTTATTCCTCGCCGTCTCCCGGGGCGACGGTACCGTTCGCAACAGCCACTGCCACCTTCGCCTTACCACCCCAGCCTCCTGCCTTACTTCCTGTAAGTAGATCAGTACATTAACTGTATTATAAGTATATTTTTTTATTTTGTATTTGCCAAATATACATTATTTTTTTAAATCTGCAACCAATTGCAGGGTGTCAGCAATTGTGTTGAATATTACTTAAGATAGAACAGGCAAACCAACCAGATCAGCTAAATGAGTCCTTTAGCTGCTCCTCTAATTTGATTAGTTAAACCTGGACGCGGCAAAATAAGGCCATTAGAACAACACTTGCATCAGAGCTGTATGTTGAGAAGAAAGTTAACTACCAGTGCATAGCTTAGTTGCCTAATTTACTTTTTTGATCAGTTGAACCTCAATATCTCTCTTAAATCTCTCCCTCTGCAGTTCAATGCTGCCAGTCCAGCCTACAGGTCCTGCGATCAGTCTAGAGCTGGATGTAGACGATGGAGAAGTGGAAAATTACGAAGTTCGTCTTCATCTGCTTTCTTTTCACTCTTTTTGTCTGCATGTTTGCTGGATGTAGGCTCAGATTCGTCTGTTGTTGCTGATGTTTCCTCCCCCCCCCCCCCCCACAGGCCCTGCTGAACCTCGCTGAGCGTCTGGGAGAGGCCAAACTCCGAGGACTGACGAAAGGAGACATCGAACAACTTCCTTCCTATCGGTTCAATCCAAATAACCATCAGTCTGAACAAACACTGTGAGTGCTGCCACCTGGTCATCATGTGTTCGGGTCGGGTGAATTATTCTCCTGAATTTGTGTGTGTGTGTGTGTGTGTGTGTGTTGCCTCCTCAGGACCATTACTGGGGATTTTTGTGACAGAGGCTAATGTTTATTAGTTACAGATTGTGTGCAGTTATTCCATGTATTTGTAGTTTTGCAAGCTACAGAAGCGTAAAACTACTTCTATAAATACCCACACACCAACAGCAGAATTCTAGTGTTGCCGGACTTAACATGCTAATACCTGTTGTGTTGCAGGTGTGTGGTGTGTATGAGTGATTTTGAGTCCCGCCAACTGCTGCGAGTCTTGCCCTGCAGCCATGAGTTCCATGGGAAGTGTGTTGACAAGTGGCTGAGGGTAAGTACCTATTGCATGGAGCCCACTCATGTAGATTAGTTTAGAAATGTCTACAACCTTTGAGTTTCAAGGCTTATCACACATTGTTTGGCAATGGATTCAAGTGTCTGACCAAAAGTGTCACATAATAGCCCACTGGTTCTAAATTCAGCACAGAAGAGTCAGTATAATCTGTAAACCTCACTAAACAGGACGGGAAAATCTGAAGAAGTTGTACACATGATTTCCCTGCTCAGTATGCTGGGGAAAAACAGGCATTTGACAGAAAGTTCTTGTGTTAATCTTAACACAGTTTTATGATTTAGAGGCACTGCCCAAAGCCTCAGTGTAAATTCTGTTATGGGGATTACAAATCAATACTAAACAAATAAAGAAAATGTCATAATGTGAAATTTATAGCAACATTTTTTATGGGGGAGTGTAGTGGTGAGTTTAGTTGCCGTCCAAATGTACAGTTTTAGGATTGGACACTGTGTGTGACTGAAGATATGAACTACCTCTAAAACCCTAACTTGATCATTTTTGTCTCCACTCTCTGTCCTCAGGCCAACAGGACGTGTCCCATTTGTCGGGCCGATGCCTCAGAGGTCCAGAGAGACTCAGAGTGACCACATGAGGGAGCCAGATACTCCTAATTGTCTGTCAAAACACTTCAGCACACAGTGTATTGATCCACATGTATCTGCTTACACACACACACCACTTCCTTGTCATTTAGCGCAGCACTTCCTGCTTGTTTGTTATGTTTCCATCTTTATGTCCCTTCTCCCTTAAATTTGATCTGATTTTCATCAGTTTTTTCTTTTTACTTCGGTCTTTCCTTTTCACATGAATGCAGGCCCTCACATATTTTAGTGAATTACACCCTGCCTGATAACTATTCTGTTGTAGTGTGTGTATGTGTGCGTGTACACATGCATGCAGCACCCCTGTTCAAGCGTTGTTTGGTCAGCCCTGTAATGCCGCACTGTGGTACATGACTGTGTGTGTTTTTCAAGGGGGGGTGTGTGTGCGTGTGTGTGTGTCAGATTTTTAGACATCCTGGAGCATGCCTGAGTTTCTGATGTGTATCAGACAAGAGTGAACAACACTGGAGAGTTTTTTTCTCTCAGGAGTGACTGACTTTACTTCTTGTATGTTTATGCACTGTCTGTCTGTATGCATACTATGTGTGGATGTATGTTATAGACTTAAATCCTTTTTCTCTAGTTTGACACTAAGGGTCCATGTTGCCACTTTACTTCTTGGTTACCTATTCGATCCATTTCTTTCAGTAATAATAATTCTTCTTATTAATATTATTATTCAGCTATTATAAGTGATTGTTTTCCTGCCTGGCAGTTACCTCATCATTCCGGTTTTGGTCATCATTACAAGCGCTTCACGGCCCTACTTTGAAATTAAGCACATTATATACTTTTCTTTACTTAGTAAAAATAAGTTTGTCTGTGACTTTGCAGTGGCACATGTGATGTGAGATATATAATTAAAATCACATGTATATAGAATAACTGTATAAATCTATGAATATCTGTATACCAAATAAAAGGCTTGATATGAACTTTTTAAACTTAGCATTCTGTATATATTCTTTTTTTTTTACATTGAATTAAGACCTTAAATAAATCAGGTTTAGTTGTGCTGGATTTCTGTTAGATTTGAAGTGGTGGTATCATTAAAAATGTCACTGACTGAACACTGCTGCTTCGGGTGGCCCCATCTTTTCAGATTTTGGTCTGGAGGTGCAACAGTGTCAATCTACCACTAGGTGGTGTTACTGTTCTTCAAGGCAACCATCGCTCCCCATAGGCCCAGTATATGGTCCTTGTGTTATGTTTTGGTTCACCTAATACACACAATCTTTGGTTTACAGGTAGAAAATATGTAATTAATACTATTTCACTGCAGATTGAGCAAGTTAAATGACACACAAACAGTAGTAATAGTTATAGTCCTCTAAGTTATAAAGCAATATAGTGGAATTACTCCCAACAACAAAATGTAAAATACAGATACAACCAAGATGTCATTTTGCAGAAACTAAAGTTAGAACTGTATATGAATGTGAAACTGAGAGAACACAGTAAACAATGTATTGGAACTGAGCATTTAATCACTTAAGGACCACAGTGGACAGCTTCATTAACTGACAATGTTTTATCAGTGAAATCTTAACTTTAAATCTACAGTGTTACTCAAATATGTGTGTGTACAGTTGGTGCACACCACAACCTCCCCCTTGCAGCACACGTCTGTTTCCCCACTGTCCGTGTACATGTCCATTTCCCTGACTGCACACAGCTGTTTCCCTAGCAGCACACGCCTGTTATCTTGCTGTTTATTAACAGAATACAGTATCTACAGTTGAAATTCAAAAGGCAGACGTCACCTCTGGGCTTTGCAGCACAAATGGCTACTTGTCTTTTTTGGAGCTGCTTGAGGTACATAAAACACAAATGTCATCTTTTTTTTTTTTTCTATGATGAAGATAATTCACAAAATCTTTTAAAGAAGGATGTGATAAAGTGGAAAACCCCTTTCATATTCTCTAGATCTTACGGATGGATCTGTGGTTATTAGATCTTGTGTAAAATCTGGATTCACCCTTTTTGTCTGAAAGATGCTACAGGTACAACACTGATAAAAACTATTTAAAAGAAAAGGCCTGCCTGTTGAATTATCCAAAGATATACAAATTGCAAACACTGAATTATTAGTTACTTTAATCCTTAGCATTTCCTATCCTTCACCCTACAACTAAAATCTAATATTAACATGAACTAACATTAAACTATCTGTTTGTTTTATGGAGGTGGGTTGAGCAAACAGATGCACTGTAAGGCATGTATGGATAACCAGTTGGAAGAAGCAAACTTTCAAACTTTTAGATAGTAACAGGCAGAGGCAGACAGGACATGGAGAGAGGGTGTGTGTGACATGCGACAAAGGTCGGCAGCTAGAATTCAACCAGCGAGAGTTGCAACTATACGGCTGTCGAGGCCTAACCATCTTAAGAAACTGCTTGATTGTGTCTGAGCACAGGTTTGGTTAGGTGATGTTTAAGGCATAAGGTGATACATACTTGCCTCTCTGAGATGATCTGTATATAAAGAATATTTTGAGTTCATGTTTAATTTAATGAGAAACCTCTTGGCCAAGGACTGATGACGCACTTGTCCTTCATTCTGTCCAACGATTTGCTTCCGCTCTCTTTTCTTTGTTCATCTGTCTCATTCCTTCTACTAATTCTCTGCTTCACCTCCCTTTTATGCAACTCCCCCGTCTTTCACTCTATTCCTCCCTCCCCCTTCTGTCCCCCCTTCTTCTCCATCACTTTCGTCCTTTCCTTCAGTGACTTTGCTACTCTTCTTCCTCCTGTCCTCCTCATGCGCTGTCCTCTTTACTCTTTCCTCTCTCTTTCCAGTTCTTTAATGTCTCACTGTTATGTTCTTCCTCTCCTCCCGTCTTTTCACTTATGCGTCTTCTCTTCCACCCTCCTCCTCTCCCTGTTTGCCTCTGCTGTGATCACCACCCACTCCTTTAACCCACTTCCGCTGCAGAGCAGTGAAGTGGAAGTGACGGGGGATTTCTGCCTAAAACTGTCTGCCAGGGGAACAAACAATATTTGTCTAGTCTTGCTTTCTCTTTTCTGCTCTCCCATCTCCTGCTTAATGACCAGGGTTGTATGAGGCAAGAAGTAGTCCAATTTATGATGGCAGGTGAGCCCTTCTTTATGTTGTTAAAACAATTGAAACAACCACATTAAGATAGACTGAAAAAAGCAGAAATTGAGCTGCAGGGGCTGTAGACTCGATAATCTTACTACTAGATGTTGTCACATTAATGCAGTCATGTATAGTTAATTTGATCAGGATCTTAACACTGTATTTGCATTTACATTCCACTTCTGAGAAAAATCCTGCATGATAGGAAACCCTTTATTTTTTGAAGAAACTCACACAAACAATATCTCCTGACAGTAGCTGCTCAAGAGGGGTCCAACTGTTAAAAGTTCAGGCTTTAATGTCCTCCTCTTTGGCTGGTTGGTTGCACTCAAGTCACTCGTGTGTGTGAGTGGTTGTCCTGTCCTCAGGCTGTGCCCGGACTGGTGACATGTTCCAGGCAGCTTGTCCGTCAGTGGCTGTGAGGAAGAGGAACCAAAGCACTCATGTCTGTTCGTTGCAGGTCAAATGGAGGGTAAGAAGAAGAAACTTTCAAGGAGAGCAGAAAGAAGATTCACCAGAATTTATGTTTTTGTACATGCAGCATGTTGTAAACAATGTTTTTGAAGTGTGAATGAGGACCATTTTTTCCTATATAATATCTCACTGTTCAAGGAGAGTCCAGTCATTTTCTACATTTGTAGCTGTTCTTTGCTATGGCTTGTTGTGTGTATTTATGTGTGTACAATACATGTGTTGTTGCATGTGAGTATTCAATAAAATTTCAAACAGGAGAATGTCAAGTGAAGGAGAATGTACCCTGAAAGAATCACTGTGAAATAAAATGACATGACATCACTTGTGGTCTCAGAGCAAGCCTGTGTGTGTGTGTGTGTGCGCTTTCTATTTTTTATTTGCATGGAAGGACAAAATCATGTATTGATTTATTTGTTAGATTATTTAACACCAATGTAACAAATCCAGGGTTATGTTTTTACTTCATTGTAGGAGAATGTTTTGACTTTTGAGGACATTTTAACCCGTTCTCATGGTGAACAAGCAGATTTTTAAGTTGTTACTAGTTAAGATACGGGGGTCGAATTAGGTTGTGGTTGAGCAAAACCTCAAAGGAGTGGATGTAAGTCAATACAACGTCCTCACAAATGCTGTATGTGTGTGTGTGTGAGTGTGTTTATGTGCATATAGTTGCAAATTGAATTTTACCAGCAAACTGCAATCAGCTACAAAGTGTATGTTTTCTGCCTTTTGGGACAAAACAAAGCCGGTCTGAAAAAAATCAGTTTTAGTTTCAAAATGATAAACCATCATCAGGCAGCACACCCTTTATTCCGTATTTAAAAAAAGTCTAAATAAAGAGATTTTTTTTCTTTCTTACCTCTGATGCCTAAACGAAGAGAGGAGAGGCTTTTACACCTCTCCTGTCTCCACTGCTCTCCTACAGGCTGCCCACACTTTTAATGTGCAAATGCAAGCTTGTGTGTGAGAGAGAGCGAGCGTGTGTGTGAGAGAGAGCGAGCATGTGTGTTGTGTAGACTGTCCCAGGCTGACAGGGTACACGGATTCTCCATCCTGCTTGTATATAGAAAGAAAGCGAGGGTACTGAGCTCTGCCTGCATCACTTATATTCACACTCTCACACACATACACACACGCTTGCATGCATTGTATCCGTCTTTCTCCCTTTTTCTTTCCTCTTTCTCCTTCTGTCTTGTATCTTTCACCCTCCACAGACTTGCACTCAGCAGTGTGAGGGTTAAATGTGGACGCGTCAGCAGGAAAGGTTCCCCTGCCCGTCTCCCTGAGTGAAGAGTGTGTGTGTAATATTTATTTCATTGGGATTTCCCCTTACTGCACGCTGGCCTTGTCATCATGTTCTGAGCTGCCAATGGCCATCACTGTCACTTGTGGGACATAACTGGGATGTGTGTGTGTGGATAGGTGGAGTGGAAAGTGGAAGTGGCAGTGTCGGGCTAAGGCTTTCATTTGACACATTAAGTCAGTGAGGAAAGGCGAGAGCTCCGAGTGCATCACATGGTGTATGATATTCTGTGTATATACACTGTTGACCATCACACCATACACACAGTGTACATGGACAGCAGGATCCTCCGGTCGTCTTCCCGGTCTGCTGGATAATTCCCTCTCCAGGGAGCTGGTGTGAGCTGTGTTGCACAGAGCAAAGTTCATGAAGTCACTTGTCAAAGTATAAATACCATTATTGTCAGATTGTATCATTCATCATCTATACCTGCTTATACCTATGCAGGAACTGTTGGCTTTCATGTTTTACAAAATATATTCACACGCAAGTGTTTCAGTCCAAAACAGAAAAAAAAAAAAAAAATTAAATATTAAATGTTTTACATAAATTAAAGTAAAACCAACTATTGTATTGTGCAGTTACAATGTTATCTTAAGACTGTGCTTACGTGTTTTTAAGTACTGAATAATGATATATTTTACATATGTGCATTAGGAAAGCCAAAAGCTCTGATGTGTGCTGTTTTGTCACATACCTCTCTTATTATATAGTAGAAAAAATTATTTGACAAAACCATGAACTGTTCTGGTGTTGAGATGATCAGAAACTGAAAAGGTTGTTCAATTTTGATGCGTTTAAAATCTGTCTCAAAAGCCTGAAAAAGAAGGGACGAGGTTTAGTCAGTGTCTGAGTCCTGTGAATTTAGACTTATTTTAGACATGAAGATCTTAAAATCGAAAGGTTTCCTTTATTTTTAGAATTCACTAGTAGTCACAGCATTTTGGATCTGGCTTATATTGATTTGTGGGGTCTTGTAAGACCCTGTCGGCTGGGCATTGTTGTGTGCATGACACAATAAAAAAAAAAAACTTGCTTCATTAATTCTTACAGTCCTGTACTTTAGTTTACAGCTTGAATAGTTTGTCCTTTCCAGGTTTTAATAGATTCACACCCAGCTTTATGATTTTAGCGTAAATCCTAACCCATTTCCAAACCTAAATCTAAACACTTCACACCTGACAATGAATATGA